TGTTAGTGAAAATTAACATGTTAAATTAAAAGTTAACATGGAGACCTCAAAGTTAACATGTTTAAGTGAAATATAACCAGTACTGATAAAAGTTAACTTTTTATAGTGAAAGTTAGCTACGAAGAAATGAAGTTGCATAAGGAGTTTTGATGTGCAGGGAATTAATGATAAATAACTGTTGCCTTTATTTTGGCAGCTATGGTTCTACGAGATGACAGGCATTAGAAAACCTGCCCTAAACATCAGATGGAAGCCGCCGTTGACCAACTGGGTAAGGGTCGGAGGGACGGCTGGATCGCTGAGGAGGGAGACAATTGTCTCCAAGGCAGAAAAAGCAACCATTAAGATTAAGGATAAACCTGATTCAACCAATTTTCCAGGGGGGGGGGGAATACCCTCAAAGGGAGCCCTCTTGGAAGAATATTAGTAGCGCTCGCCTTGGGAAGAAAAGGATCCCTGCTGTATCAGATAAGAGTAAAGCTATGGTGGTTTCATTGCCGAGAGTGAAGGAGAAGAAAGAAAACGTAAAGGATGAGAAGCAAGCGAGGGTGAAGGGCAGACAAAATAGCTCATCCGTAGGATACGTAAGCGTCAATCATCTTTTACTGATTTGCTAGCATATTTATGATGGTTGAATTTTGTAACTTACTGGTTATTTTTCCAGATTGTCTCCCAGCATATCAAGAACGCGCTTGACAAAGAAGATGAAATAGAGAAGTTGAGCCTTGATCAGCAAATTCAGTTCTGGAGGAATACGACCAAATTAAACATGAAATTGCTCCATGCCACAAAGCGTAGTAAGCGCCTTCAATGGGATGCTTGTTCTAAGGAGATACATAGGCTGAACTAGAAATTGGAGTATTACGAAGGAACTGCTGACCTGATTGATCCCCGGGACCTAAAGAAAAGTGTGGAGGAGATTATGTCCAAGAGTGACAGGCATACAAGGGCTGCACATGTGAAGAGGAAAAGAAGTGTTGACAGCATTGGCAAGGGTGACGATGTCGATTGTTTCGATTATGACGATGTGTGCATTATTGGTAAGGAAGCCTCGCATATTGTGGAGGGTGTAGCACAAGCTGAGCAGGAGGTAGACAGTGTTGGCCAAGATGAGGATGAAGAGACTGGAGGGGAATATAAAGAGGAAGAGATGGAAGACAAAGAGCATGAGGAGAAAGAGGAAGATAAAGAGGCCGAGAAAGAGGAAGATAGAGAGCAAGCGCTGAGTGAGGGAGATAGAGAGCAAGAGAATAGAGAGGAGGATAGAGAGCAAGTACTGTTTGAACAGGAAGATAGAGAGCAGGAGAATAAACTTGTAGAATCAGCGGCATCTGAGAAAGTGGAAGTTAGAGAGGAGTACTTTGAAGTGGAAGTTAGAGAGCAGGAGATGAAAGTACATGAGAAAGAGGAGGAGCTAGCGCAGATGTTTGAGGAAGAGAAGGAAGAAGAGAAGAGCAGTGCGGAGAAAGTGTCGGAGATGGGTATGGGGGAGAAGGACTCATTAGATGGTTATCGAAAGAGGTCGAAGAAAGTTGTTTCGAAGGGAACAAGGGGACCAAGTACCAGAATCAGGACTCGTTCTCAGCTAATCCGAACCCCTTTCACTAAGGAAAAGAAGAAGATAGCCCAACCAAAATTAATTACAATTTCACATCACAAGGAGGATGATAGGGAAAAAATCAGGTACTACTGCAAACCTAGTGAATGCACGTGGGATTTTCAAAAAACCAAAATAATTAAGAAGAAGGAGGAGGCTCTGTTGAAGTTGCTGAACGAGGGGATTCCTTTTGTTGATGATTTTAGCATACGCCTGGTTGATAGCGCAGGAACCTTTGTTCACAACTTTAGAATACCCCATCATGTAGCGGCAAAGCTCACTCTAGAGGAGAACAGATGGGTCTTAGAGTTTTGCAATCAGAAAGCTCATCAGTAAGTTCAATCCATGCGAACTCTGGTTTCTATATGCATGTTCATGTTAAAAGAAACATGTTAACTTATGCTCATTGATGTTAACTTATGCTATAACATGTTATTGTTCATCGTTATATGTTAAATTTTCCAGAATCAGGCTAACGTTTTACCATTTATGTTAATCTTTGTATCTTTGTGTCATATATCAGGTCATGATTGTTTTAAAAATGTCAAACAGTAGTATTGATTCTATGGAGCTTCTCAACCTACTACGAGGGGGACGTATTGATGACCATGCAAGTTTAATTGCCTCACTTATGCAATTTTTCCTCACAATTTGACAGGGTTGTTATGCAATCTAATGTGTGTCTTATGTATGTTCCATTTCCAGGTGATGGAAGCTTTGATCGATAGAATAAGCTCATGGCTGGATAGGCTAGAAATGGTTCCCCTGAGCCATAAGTATGGGATTGTATCAGTCTTCTTCTGCGTAAGGTATATACTTTACGATACTATGATTCTTTAATACGTGTTTACTCCCGTCATAACATTCCATTATACTTGGATTATACAGCACAACCTTTATGCAAACACTCCTGATTTCCCACACATATATACTTCATTTATACAAAAGCATATTGCTACGAGGAAGAGTGTACTCCTTATCCCGCTTGTGCGTCAGGATCATTGGCATCTTGCTGAAGTCAGGTTGGATGAGGACGTTGTCAAGCATTACAGCTCAGCTACCCATGATGCATATATTGAACCGGTGAATAAAGTAATTGGCTTCATGGACCATATGAAGGATGGTTTTGATCCAGACAATGTTTGGAGGAAGTTTAGATATAAGGGCGTCCCTTGCGAGCAACAATCTGGAATGTTAGTAATTTAGAAACTTGAATTTAATTCTATTGCATCCCACAACACATATCTAACAGAACTGTTATTGCATCTCCGCGTTGCAGTTTTGATTGTGGGCTTTTCATTCCCTTATACATGAAGGCTATAATCAATGGGATTGATGCGATTCAGGTAAGTAATCCCGGAGACAATTCGGCCGTCTTGCGTGCCAGGATTGCAGCCAAACTTCTTGAGGAAGGATGGGAACAGAGACATCAAGCGGATATTGAAGCACATGGTGGGTGAAAGACGATTCTAACATTATGATGTAATTGAAATGGATTGTTATGGATATGCACTCTTTAATTTTGCGGATATTGAAGCACATGCACTCTTTAATTTTGCGTGCCAGGACATCAAGCGGATATTGAAGCACATGGTGCGTGCCAGGACATGCACTCTTTAATTTTGCTGTAAGCCAGTCAGTTTACGGAGGAGGTTAACTAGATTGGACAAAAGTTAACCACTTTCAGCAAAAGTTAACCAGTTACAACAAAAGTTAACCACTGTAGGCGAAAGTTAACCAATTTCAGAAAAAGTTAACCAGATTCAGTAAACGTTAACCAGCTTCGCTGGAAGTTAACCACTTTCAGTAAAAGTTAACTAGTTACAACAAAAGTTAACCACTATAGGCGAAAGTTAACCAATTTTAGAAAAAGTTAACCAGATTCAGTAAACGTTAACCAGCTTCGCTGGAAGTTAACCACTTTCAGCAAAAGTTAACCAGTTACAACAAAAGTTAACCAGTGTAGACGAAAGTTAACCAATTTCAGAAAAAGTTAACCAGATTCAGTAAACGTTAACCAGCTTCGCTGGAAGTTAACCATCGCCAGAAATAGTTAACCAGTTACACTGAAAGTTAAACCTGTCGCTCTAAACCAAATTGTGCAAAATTAAAGATGTCAACCGTTCAACTACCCACTTTGGATTAGATCGAACAGCTCTGAAAGCTAACCAATTCAGTGAAAATTTTACAAATCGATAGCCAATAAACTAATAAAACGAAGAGCGATTTTTAGACGATGTAGTGTTCTGCTATGAACTGCACATATATCAGTTCATTTTCAGCTTGCATATCACAATGTTTAAGCAAATTAGAACAACACAAAAACAACATAGAAAGCACGAACAGGTTTTCTATTTTTCAACTTCACGCTTAGACTGCTTCAATGCTTTCTTCAAATATTTTACCTTGCTATCTCATCTTCAGCGGGTGCTTCTTGGTGAACAGCCACGTTCTCCTTCATTGCATTGACATTGTCAGCCCAAGCAAAAAACTTGCATTGCCTATTTGGGAACTTTGCACATCCCCAGAAGTATCTACCTTTGTTGCTCCTAATTTTGCACTGCTTGAAGGGGTTTGGAAGCTTGCAGAAACAACATGGCTCTTCTACTGACTGAGAGGCATCCTCGGTCTTCATCTTAGTCTCTAAATGAGCTACAAAGGGAGGGAGGGAACAAGAGATATGGTTTTACTTGAGCCTTGCATAACATTATATAAAGCAAATGGAACAAGTACCTAGCCGTTGGAATATGTCTGTTGGAACAGTATACCAACTAGCCGTTGAACAGTCACGTAGATTTGAGACCTGACAGCAATTTAACCTCAAACAGTTGGCCTTTATGATAACAAATTCAGCTAAAAGTAGTAGTAGTATAGAGATAGATATAAGTTCACATGTTTAAGTACAAAATTCAAAACCTCCTGCTGTCTGGCAGCAGAGCACAAAAATCTACCATTTGTATAATGGAAACTTAAATGCAACTTATATTTCTCTAGCGCCATTCCTCCTCTTCGTAAGCATGGCACACTAATCGTGGATGGGCTCGTTACAAGTTGCTCGGTTGTGCCCTTCCCTCTTGCATCGACCACATTTGACAGGACGTTTCATGATGGTTCTGTTGTTTATGCGTCTTGTTCTATTTCTTCCCCTCTTCTTCGTGGTAATTGGTCGCAAAATCTGGATTTCATCCTTGGGCACACTACACATCTCATAATCTGGTATGGGATATAATATTTCATCGTAGCTCTTCTTAAACGCCTCTACGGACATGAACCAGTCACAATACTGATATACCTCTCTTTTCATATAAATGATGACTGCACAAGCATGCACACAAGGAATACGAGTTACGTCCCAAGCACGGCAACTGCATGTCCTCTTCCCCAAGTCAACGTGAGTGGTTCTCTATGATTGCACTTCGAATATATCATCTCTAGATTGCTTAATCTCTAACGTAGATCCTCTTTCCATATGTTCTCTAACAATCTGCTCAGATTTAGGACAAAGATAGCTTGTCCACTTTTCAGCCATTATGCGTCTGTTGTTCATGCGAGTCATAATTTGCTTGCGGATATGCTCCACCATTTGCAGGATACGCAGCATTCGAGCTTCACGTATCCAGCTGTTAAAGGATTCTGCAATGTTAGAAGTTACATGACCATATCTGCAAACATCAAAATAAAACAAAGTCCCATTCAGCATCCAATATGTAATAAGATTAACACATAACCACCAAACTTTCCCTTTAGTAGGAAAAGTTAACATAATAACATGAAAGTTAACATATAGTGATAAACGATAACATATATCACCGATAGTTAACCTGCAAAAGGGGATATTCACTAGAAATGATTGAGGGCAGTACCTAATGCCAGGGAAGAAGGCATTCGCCCAATGCTCTGGCGAGTAGTTATTTACAATCTCATATGCAGCTGGAGACATCTCATATATATCCTTCATGTAGTCGTTCCATTCCGCAACAGTGTATTTATAGCAAGCTGATTGGAGCAAATTCCCCAAAACATGTGTGTCCTTTGCTTTCATTCCCAAATCCTTTAGCTTAGATCTAAAATTTTCAACCAGGTGCAGAACACATCTTGAGTGAATTGCTTCAGTAAAATATTCTCTCACCGCTTCTTGGATTCCCTTGTCGGCATCAGAAATAATAACCAGTTGATGGGGAGGATTGTATGGGTCTGGCCTTTCGTACAGTATAGACCACAAGCATTGCAGGAACCATCTCCAATTATCAACGTTTTCCTGATCACATATGCAATACGCAAGTGGAAATATCCCTTGGTCTCCATCATATGCTACAGCGCTCAGGAGCAGGCCTTTGTATCTATCTTTCAAGAAGGTCCCATCCAAAAATAATAGAGGTCTACACCCATTTAAGAAACCAACGATGCAAGCAGCATAACATATAAACAGTCTTTTGAACCTTCCTTCATTCTGGTCAATGCAAATGTAGCTTCCTGGATTTGTTTCCTTCACCTTTTGCTCATACCTGTACAACAGTGTGACCACATTACACGTAAATATAATACATTGGAACATAAGGGTAATGTATATTAACATGTAAGAGCTGACAATTTTCCATGAAACATAACAGTCCACTGTGACAGTTGAAATATAAATTTATAAAAATAAACATGGAAACATCTAAGGAAATATATTGCACGATCAATTTATACATTTAAACAGATAACTATAAAATTTACCATCTTAATTGATCGTAACACTCATAACTATCACCGTACATAGCCTCCTGCGCTCTTTCTTTGCCCCACCATATCTTACTGTATTCAAGTCTCAATCCATATCGAGTGAGGAACTCCTTTTGCACATCCTTTGGGCGGATTTCAGGTCGAACTTTTAAGACAGGTCGCAATTGTTCTGCTACGAATCTACGAGATGCCCGTGATTGCCCTGACAAGTTAGTATGTTGTCCGCAACTATGTTCATTCACAAACCTTTTGATTTCAATTTTTTTTCATTTTTTACAGGGGATGCAAACAGCATCCAAGAGCATCCATACGGCTCCTTATATCGACAAATAACTCGGATACGTTTAGGTTCATTCTTTACAAAGTCGTAGTCAAACTTTTTTCCTTATATCGACAAATAACTCGGATACGTTTAGGTTCATTCTTTACAAAGTCGTAGTCAAACTTTTTCGCCATGGAATAGTATTGCAACGCTAGTCTTAAATCATTAACAGTTTCAAATTGTTGGCCCTTTTCAGTTAATGTTGTATGCCAACAGTCTGGAATGTTGTAAGTTTTACTGATAATATCATCAGCTCTCATTACAATTTCACCAGACGGGCAATCATTTGGGATTCTCTCTGAATTGGAAGCATTTCCGCCAGAAGGGGAATGACAATATTCTTCATTCAAAGAGGCATCACTGCTGCAAAAATTAATCAGCCAGTGATATAAACTTTACACTTGAGTATAAAACTATCTTATAATGTTTAAAACAAACCATTTTCGTATAAATTAATTAAAGAGTAGTGGAATTTAACAGACAATTTACATAGTTAACTCGTTACGCTGAAAGTTAACATGCTCACATGAAAGTTAACATGTTCAATTAAAGATTAACATATATCGTCAAAACATAACATGAAAGATGAAGAGTTAACGTATAAATTTCGAAGATGACATCTATGTTTTTCTACTGCGCACAGAAACCTGAAATCATAATTTTTACATCACACAATCCCAATTTGAGCCAAAGTTCATTGTTTACATATAAATCAGTAATAACTTTGTACTTCCTTTAAGAAGTAGGTCACTCTATGTTATCAAACACTTGCATCTGAATCTCCGTACAACAAGTGAAAATATTGTCTTCAAACATGCACTTCATGATAGGAAGAATATAGCAATAACGTCACACGACACCGTGCACGTCGAACAATTGGAAACCGTTAAGGGTTGTTGACAGTTACGACGATAATTAATTTGTTAACTTGAAGGGATTCAAAGCGCATAACGGGATTCCAAAAGATGAAGTTAAAAAACACTTAAAATGTTATGCGGCTTTGCCTTAAAGCCTGAAATCAGTATGTTCACGTCACACAAAGCTAAATGTTATAAAGAATCATTAATTACTTACATTCCACCAATAACTTTCTGCTTTATTTCAGAACTGGAACACTCTTTATTAACAATACTATTAACAACAGCGAGCAGGTGAATCTCTGTACAACCGACATTTCGATTGTACTCCAACATGCACTTTAAGTCATCTTCGTTGTCAATTGAAAAAGTCAAGTTGGGGTGCCTCTCGGATTTATATACCAAGGATAAAGCTTCTTCAGGTACTTTCATTCTTTTAGCCACATCAAATTTCAGTTCATAAAACCGTGTTTTCGAGCAGAGCTTCATAAACATGGCCTTCTCGCCTAAAGACACCATACAAATCAAGTCATCGGCGGCCATTGGGAGTGGTTGAGAGTTATGAAGACAGTTATGAGGAGTAATGGAGGGAATTTAAAGCTCAGAACGGTTGTTGACAGATGAAGGGAAAAACCCTGATTTCATAAATGGGAGAATGAGAGAAAAAATTGCCCGAATTTATATCCCATTAATAAGGAGCTGAAGCGGACCAGTAATGGAGGGAACCTGCCTTTTTTTCCCCCGCTTTCCGCCGTCTCTTCGCCTTAACTGCGATGGGAGAGATCGACGATCATTGATGGCTACCTGTAGCCGGTTCCCAATGAGAGACGAGGGCATTTTGGGTCTTTTTGCCTAAATACGCGGAGCATACGTATAAAAGAGGGCTAAAGGGGCTGGACCACACGAATAACGCATTTTTGGGGCGGCAGCCCAAGGGGAATAATTGGTGGGGCTGGGCCACTTCAAGGACACGATTTTGGGGCCTGGACACAATTTTCCCTTTTTTTTTAAGAATGCCCTTCATTTACCATACAAAATGACAGAAGATGTTAAAAAAGAAAACGAAAAAAAGAGAACTATGATTCTCCATTTTACAGCAAAATTGCTTGGAATGTGCAACCTTTGCTATATGCTTTTAAATCTTGGGCACTACTATGTCCATTGACAACTTCAAAATACATTTAAGATCAGGTTATTTATTTCCACCTATCCATCATTTGCATTTTATTTCGCATGTAATGTCAACCTTTCCAGTCCCTTAGCATAGGGCCTTTTTTCTCTAAAAGAAGTCCACAAGTAAATCATAAATCTGACCTTAAAGGAAATAGTCAGTTAATAGTAGGTTTCCAGGAAGTCTGGTTCTTGGAATGATGTTTGAATTGCAACTTAAGCTGAGGGCTCCAAATATCCATTGATTGAAGACACCAAAAACTATGCTGGATGATACATAAGAGTAAGGGTTTTATTTTTATAGTTTGGTAGGACCTTTTCAACAAGGTAACTTTACATCAACAATATGTTTTCTTTCAAATTTTATGTAACATCTAAACTTGATTTTTTTTATGAGCTAATGATAATCTACATATATAGAAACAATAAAGACTCTATTCAGCTTTCGTGGTTTGCGCATGAATAATTTTAGGGAAAATCTTCTTTTAACCCAAAGTTTTACTCCAACTTATTTTTAAACCCACCTATTTTCATTATGATCTATACACCCAAAGTACAACACCCACTTATTTATAAACCCAAAGTATCAAATACACCATATTTATATACTGTATCCAAAAAATAAAAGATAAATCCTGAAATTACCCTTGTTCTTCTTCTTCTTCCTCCCTAATAACTACCCAGGGCTCAACTCTCTCTTTCTAATTATCTCCATCTTTCTAGTTCTCCTCCCACTAAAAAAAACCCTAAAAATTCAAGGGTTTTGATCTCTTGCAATGGCGTCCAATGTAACCATACAGGTTTCTCTTCGCTAGATCCTTCGTTGAAGGGGACGGTGGCAACGGCCCTAGGACCACCCAGTCCACTCAAATCCAACCAATAGAAAACGGTATGTTAACATTTTGAAATTTTGGGGTTTTTTGGCAATATCTTGTTAAAAATGCCTTGTTCTTATAAATTGATGGATTATTATCAAGCTTATGCTTCAGGAAAGATTATGTGCATAACAATTTTGCTCATATATATCTATGTTTTGGTGACTAGGTTGATGCATAGAAGGTGTTTGATGGAATAACAAAAGGGATATAGTTATTTGGACTACAACGATTAGCGGTTATGCCACATTGTTGTTGGTTGAGGAGGCAATAAAGGTGGTTGATGAAATGTCCAAGAGAAGTTTAGTTTTATGGACCGCCATGATCTTAGCCCATCGGTATGTTATCCTACGCCCTCCGGTTGCTCCTCACCATTTTCTATTGTCGCCAACACCTAACGCAATGCACAGCTACCCCTCAATCAGAAACGATTCGTCAATGCACGTACACTAACTTTCCAATCAAATACATGAGAGAATCCTCCACTCTTGGCATTCGATCAGATCTTAGCATTGTTGTCACATTGCAACCCAAACGGCAAATCAACTATAGCCTGCAATATGATGTACCAAGTAGTATCTAATGTATCGTGTTGCATGGAATTTTCTATATTATGAATATATAGATGATTTGTGTGTATATTGTATCAAATGCACTATCCAATGTATCATGTTGTATCAAAATTTCTATTAGAAATTTATTAGTATATCTAGTAGAAATGTATCTAGTAGAAATGTATATAATGTTTCGATAGTGGTGATTTTGGATTATTTCCATTCAATCTTCATGGATTATTTTCATTCAATGTTATGTGCTTGAGTTTAGTGGTTGATAGATATGAATATCTGTAACGAATTGATGCACTGATTGAACTGAAGAAGTTTTGATTGTAGGTTGTGGTAACTACAACCTATTGGGCCATATTATGTTTCGTGTGTCCAATTATCCAACTCGACGAGGGGTCCTCACTCAATTTTCTAGCTTTTGATAAAGTATAGCACTTTATGGGAAAGTATAGCAGCTTATTGATGAAGTATAGCATCTTATGGTAAAGTATAACACCTTATGACAATAGTAGAGCACCTTATCGATAAAGTATAGCACCTTATGGTCTCTGGAAATTAAGCAACTTATTACGTTGCGATAAACCAAATAAGTTTTGTTAGGGCCATACAAACACTCGATGACCTACGTTATGTGTCGCGTGACAAATTATCCACCTCGACGAGGGGTCCTCGCTTAATTTTAAAGCTTTTGGCAAAGTATAGCACTTTATGGAAAAGTATAGCACCTTATGGCCAAAGTATAGCATTATATGGCAAAGTATAGCACTTTATTGGTAAAGTATAGCATCTTATTGGTAAAGTATAGCACCTTATGCTCTCTGTAAATTCATCACCTTAAGTTGTCTAAAATCAAATCAGTTTTTTTTACCGCAACGCAAACACTCGATGACCTATGTTACGTGTTTATTAACCAATCATCCACCGCGACGGGGGGTTCTCATGTAATTTTGAAGCTTTTGGCAAAGTATATCACTTTATAGGAAAGTATAGCACCTTATGGTCAAAGTATAGCACAATATGACAAAGTATAGCACTTTATTAGCAAAGTATAGCACCTTATGCTCTCTGGAAATTCTGCACCTTAAATTGTCTAAAACCAAATCAGTTTTTTTCACCGCAATGCAAACACTCGATGACCTACGTTACGTGTTTACTGACTAATCATCCATCGCGACGGGGGGTCCTCACGCAATTTTGAAGCTTTTGGCAAAGTATAGCACTTTATGGGAAAGTATAGCACCTTATGACCAAAATATAGCACTATATGGTAAAGTATAGCACTTTATTGACAAAGTATAGCACCTTATTGGCAAAGTATAGCACATTATTAGAAAAGTATAGCACCTTATGCTCTCTGAAAATTCTGCACCTTAAGTTGTCTAAAACCAAATCAGTTTTTTTCACCGCAACGCAAACACTCGATGACTTACGTTATGTGTTTATTGACCAATCATCCATCGTGATGGGGGTCCTCATGTAATTTTGAAACTTTCGGTAAAGTATAACACTTTATGGGAAAGTATAGCACCTTATGGCCAAAGTATAGTACTATATGGCAAAGTATAGCACTTTATTGGTAAAGTATAGCACCTTATTGGCAAAATATAGCACATTATGCTCTTTGGAAATTCTGCACCTTAAGTTGTCTAAAACCAAATCAGTTTTTTTCACCGCAACGTAAACACTCGATGACCTATGTTACGTGTTTATTCACCAATCATCCACCGCGACGGGGGGTCTTCGCACAATTTTAAAGCTTTTGGCAAAGTATAGCACTTTTTGAGAAAGTATAACACCTTATGACCAAAGTATAGCACTATATGGCAAAGTATAGCACTTTATTGACAAAGTATAGCACCTTATTGGAAAAGTATAGCACCTTATACTCTCTAGAAATTTTGCACCTTAAGTTGTCTAAAACCAAATCAGTTTTTTTCACCGCAACGCAAACACTCAATGACCTACGTTACGTGTCTATTTACCAATCATCCACCATGACGGGGTCCTCACGCAATTCTGAAGCTTTTGGCAAAGTATAGCACTTTATGGGAAAGTATAGCACCTTATGGCCAAAGTATAGCACTATATAGCAAAGTATAACTCTTTATTGACAAAGTATAGCACCTTATTGGCAAAGTATAGCACCTTATGCTCTCTGGAAATTCTGCACCATAGGTTGTCTAAAACCAAATCAGTTTTTTTTTCACTGCAACACAAACACTAGACGACCTACGTTACGTGTTTATTGACCAATCATCCACCGCGACGGGGGTCCTCGCACTATTTTGAAGCTTTTGGCAAAGTATAGCACTTTATGGGAAACTATAGTACCTTATGACCAAAGTATAGCACTATATAGCAAAGTATAGCAACTTATGCTCTCTAGAAATTTTGCACATTAAGTTGTATAAAACCAAATTAGTTTTTTTCACCGCAACGTAAACACTCGATGACCTACGTTATGTGTTTATTGACCAATCATCCACCACGACGGGGGGTCCTCGCGCAATTTTGAGGTATTTGGCAAAGTATAGCACTTTATGGAAAAGTATAGCACCTTATGGCCAAAGTATAGCACTATATGACAGAGTATAGTACTTTATTGGCAAAGTATAGCACCTTATTGGCAAAAAAAACTGATTTGATTTTAGACAACCTAAGGTGCAGAATTTCTAGAGAGCATAAGGTGCTATACTTTGCCAATAAGATGCTATACTTTGCCAATAAAGTGCTATACTTTACCATATAGTGCTATACTTTGTCCATAAGGTGCTATACTTTCTCATAAAGTGCTATACTTTGCCAAAAGCTTCAAAATTGTGTGAGGACCCCCGTCGCGGTGGATGATTGGTCAATAAACACGTAACGTTGGTCATCGAGTGTTTGCGTTGTGGTGAAAAAAACTGATTTGGTTTTAGACAACTTAAGGTGC